GTGCGTTGACAGCTCCAATATTCACAAATTTCTTGGCCTGAGGATATTACCCGGGAACAGTTGAAGGTGTGAGAGGCCCTCGAGGGCCACAACTGTGAGTAGATGGCTGCGGGAGCCATAAGGATCGCAGTAACATGAGTTTGTTGCTTGCAGCTGGAGCTTGGTGCCCTGATTGAATCAGGGCGTTGAAAAATTTCTTCCACTCCTTTATTGTAGGAGCCAGAGCCACCGGTCATGGAGGTAAACTTTGTGATGCGACAGCGTTTACTTTTCCATCAAGACGGTGCTAAGTTCATTGCAGTCAATGATTGGGCATGAAGCATTTTGACGAGCAGAGGAAGCCAGCTGTCGGAGTCGTTTATGCAAGAGTGGTCTTCCCATGCACGTACGCCATACTTCACATAGAACAACAGCGTAACGAGATGCAAGCAGGTTTCGCTGTTCTCGGCCATGCATGTGCAGTGCACGGCAAGCACCTTGCCGTCACTCTTGCCCAAGAACTAGACTTCGACAGGGGGCTTGTTAAGGCTTTGAGAGTTGTTAACCTGGTGTGAAGGTTCATAGGTCCAGGAGCTCGAACAACAAAAGACAAGATGTAGAAGAGGACAGTACGTTTATGTACAACATGGAGGGACGTTGGACAACACATAAATGAATGTGTGCTGATATGTTAGCTGTGACATGTTATACAGTCGATCTCCGATATATCGAACTCGAAGGGGATCGCAACATATCTTGATATATCGATAACTGGAAATACAAAGTATGCGTATTTAAGGCCTAAATTTATTTATTTTAGGGGCGAAGCTCCTTAGAACGTGGGCTGTGCGTCCCCTGTAGCCTGTATGTAGCCACCTTTAGTTTAGTTCTTGCAGTGTTCACTAGATGGCGGTACCGTCCCCTGTATGTAGCCACCTCTAGTTTAGTTCTTGCAGTGTTCACTAGATGGCGGTACCGTCTCCTTTATGTAGCCACCTCTCGTTTAGTTCTTGTAGTGTTTACTAGATGGTGGTACTTGTAGCTGATGATGAAAAGATGCAAGATGTTATAAACTAGAAAGCGGTACTTGTAGTTGATGAAAGACGCGAGATCTTATAAAATAGGAATGATGTCACATATGACGCGTGTCATTGGTTGAAGGCAATCGTTCGATTTAGTGCGGCGACGTACGCTAGGGGGAGCGATGTAATAAAATCGAGTGGGGAAAATGTACAGAGGATTCATGGTTTACCAGGTTTACCTCCGGAGCTTCGCCCACTCATCATCATTCACTTCGTGGATATGGCGGAATTTTTTTATTTAATAAAACTCTCAGAGCCAGAGACACTGAAGAAGGGAGTGGGAAAAAACATACAATTATTTTATTACACAGGCTTCTAATTATACAGTTTAAGCTAGTGGTAACAAGGACAAAATAGTGTTCACAGACTAATAATGAATAATGGTTTAGGAAATGTGCTAAGGATACAGGCATGTACATAATAAAAATATAGTCATGAATAATGGAATGCATACATGTAGACCGAGCAAAAAAAACAAAGGAAGTAGAAATGGCGATACAATGCTAATTAAAGCTCCTCTAAACAGATGATTATCATGAATTGATACGATGTCACCAGCAAAGTGGTTCCAGTCAATGGATGTTCGAGGAATGAATGATTGAAAGAATGCTTTTGTGTGGCATGCTTCAAGGCCAACCTTGTGACAATGGTCTATTCTAGATTATATGCATTGTGGTTGCAAAATTAGTTCGTTTTTGAGAGATGAATGATATATAATTATGAAGAAGAGTGAGACGTGCGATTTTGTAACGATAAGATAGTGATGTTAGTGAAAAATAGGATTTCATGGCAGAAACACTTGCAGTACGGTTGTAGCTAGACAAGATGATGCAAGTTTAGTTATTTTGAACACGTTCTAATGAGGTAATTAGTTTGTCAGTAGTATAATTCTAAACAGCGCATTATTCTAGTTTTGGACGTACAAGGGTTCGCGATTTGGCCTTATTGTATGTGCCACGACAGTGTTTCATCTGTCTGCATATATTTACAGCTTTTTGAATAAACCTTACGTTGGTAGTAAGTGCTTGTCCCTGTCTATCCTGTCCGCATCTACGAAGTGCGCTTTTATTTCAAACAATCATGTATAACCAACTCGCCCAATCAATCATATTGACAAGTTCTATGAGGACGTAGAATTGGCAATGAGTAGGGTAAAAACACAGTATATTATACTGATAAGTGACTTCAATGCTAAGGTAGGGAAGAAGCATGCTGGAGACCAGGCAGTAGGAGATTATGTCATTGGTACTAGAAATGCCAGAGGGAAGTTATTAATATAATGTGTAGAATGCAATAATTTACAGATCTTGAATACCTTCTACCAAAAATGAAGGAACCATAAGTGGACATGAAGGAGCCCTAATGCCGAAAGTAAGAACAAAATAGACTTTATACTGGGTGCATACCTAGGCATCGTGCAGGATGTGGAAGTGCTTGGCAAGATACAATGCAGTAACCATAGAATGGTAAGGTCTCGAATTCGCCTGGACTTGTAGAATGAACGACAGAAACAAAATGCCAATCAATGAGCTAGCACTGAGAGGGAAAGTACAGGTACTCACTGCAGAACAGGTACTCAGCTCTTGCCAAAGAAACCAGCCTTAGCGTTGACGCTGTGAATGATAATCTGACAAGTATCATTATGGAGTGTGCAGTGGAAGTTGGAGATACGGCAGTTAGACAGGACACTGGCAAGCTGTCCCAGAAAACAAAGAATCTCATTAAGAAACGTCAAAACATGAAAGTCTCAAACAGAACAGACAAAAAAGTATTGGCAGAGCTTTTGAAGTTGATTAATAAGCGTAAGGTATCCGATGTAAGAAAATATAGCATGTAGAGAATTGAACACACTTTGAAGAACAGAGGAAGCGTCAAAGCGTTGAAGAAAAATTTTGGGATAGGCAAAAACCAGACGTACGCACTAAAAGACAAGGAAGGCAAAATAGCTACCAATATGGATGGGATAATTAGATTAGCAGAAGAGTTTTACAGAGATCTGTGCAGTAGCCGGGACTGCCACGACCATTATGTAAGAACTAGCAAAAACCCGGATGACATCCCACCAGTAATGATAGAAGAAGTCAGAAAAGTCTTGGAAGGAATGCGAAGAGACAAAGCTACTGGTGAGGATCAGGTAACATAAGATCTACTGAAAGGAGGACAGGTTGTGTTAAGAAAACTAGCCACTCGTTCACAGAGTGTCTCCTGACAAAGAGGGTATCGGAATCTTGGAAGAATGCTAACTTTATCTTATTACATAAGAAAGGAGATGACAAGGACTTGACGAATTACAAGCCAATCAGCTCGCTCTCTGTCGTATACAAACTATTCACAAAGGTAATTGCTAACAGAATAAAGACAATATTAGAATTCAATGAACCAAGGAATCAAGCAGGACTTCGAACAGGCTTCTTAGCCATCGACCACATTGATACTATCAATCAGGTAATAGAGAAATGCTCAGAATAGAGCCAACCACTATGCATAGCCTTCATAGATTACGAAAAGGTGTTTGATTCAACAGAAATATCAGCAGTTGTGCAGACACTGTGGAATCAGGGCGTCGATAAGGCAAACATAAACATCCTGGCAGAAATCTGCAGGAGTCAACTGCTACCATAGTGCTTCATAAAGAAAGGGACAGAATACCAATCGAGAACGGTTTAAGGCAAGGGGATAAAATCTGCCCAATTCTATTTACCGCATGCTTACAAAAGGTTTTCAGAGGCCTAGAATGGGAAGGGTTAGGGATAAGAGTTAATGGAGAGTACCTCAGTAACCTGTGCTTCGTGGATGACATTGCATTGCTGAGTAACTCGGGGGACGAAGTGCAACTCATGATTACTTAATTAGACAAGGAAAGCAGAAAGGTAGGTCTTAAAATTAATCTGCAGAAAACGAGAGTAATATATAACAACCTCTGAAGAGGACAACTCTTCGAGATACGTAATAGTGCACTTGAAGTTGTAAAAGACCATGTCTACTTAGGACAGGTAATAACCGCGGAGTCGAACCACGAGATTGAAGTAACTCGAAGAATAATAATGGGGTGGAGCACATTTGGCAAGCACTCTCAAATCATGACAGGTAGATTGCCGCTATGCCTCAAGAGGAAGGTATATAACAGGTGCATCTTGCCGGTACTTAGCTACGGAGCAGAAACCTGGAGACTTACAAAGAGGGTTCAACTTGAATTGAGGACAACACAGTGAGGGATGGAAGGTGCAACCTTAAGAGACAAGAAAGGAGCAGAGTGGATCAGGGAACAACGGGGTTAAGGATGTCATAGTTGAAATCAAAAAGACATTGGCTGGGCATGTAGCGTGTAGGCAGGATAACTGCTGGTCATGAAGGATAACTGGCTGGATTCCCAGAGAAGGCAGGCGGGCTAGGGGGAGACAGAAAGTTGAGATTAGGAAGTTTGTGGGTACAAAATGGCAGCAGCAAGCACAGGACTGAGTTGACTGGCGAATCAGTGCCTTTGTCCTGCTATGGACGTAGTCAGGCTGATGATGATGATCACCTGTGGCACATACCTGCATACCAGTGGCACATACCCGCTCCAGGGTATGTGCCACTGCTTTTTGGAAATTGTGTGAGGACATAACCGACGAGAATGGGACATTATTTATGTCATGATCAGGGAGTCAGTCGTATTTGTCAAACCATCTTACCCTCCTGCACTAATTTTGGTGTATCCCAAGTTAAGGGGGTGAGCATGAAAGCACCCAGGCGTAGGTGGTTAGATAGATAGATAGATAGATAGATAGATAGATAGACAGATAGATAGACAGACAGACAGACAGACAGACAGACAGACATGAAAAATGCTTGCAGTACACAAAGAAATGCTTCGCATTTCTGCATTCCATGACTGCACCGTCTGTGCAGTATGCCTTTACATAAAGTGTCTTCACAAGTTTTGTGTTCTTGTTTTAGTGCACACGTCTGAAACAGGGCGAGGTGGTGACTTTGAGATGCCAGTTACTGAAGAGCTGATTGCTTTCTTTGAGCAGAGTGCACTGCATCGTAAGAGCCTTGGTAAGTACACCAAAACTGTTTCACCACTTGACATGTATGCATTCTACCTTTTTTTTTTTTTTATTGTGTCTGTCATGTATTAGCATTTGCAGTTAAAGGCTGACGCTCCGAGTCAGAGCATCAGCCTCTGACACAGAGCGCTTCCGACCGCTCTGACTTCAAAGTGAGAGCGTGGCGCGATCTGGCTTGGAAGACAGATTACGTGACACAAGCATACCTGCCAACTCTCCCGAATTGGGTGGGAGACTCCAGAATTTCGACATTGAACAAATGCTATCTTGAATCTCTCGAAAAGTGACCGGAGCAACCGAGGTGTTGTTTCTCTTTTTATCATGCGTATATGCCAGCCTTTTCTGTTCCAACACGCATCACTGCACTTCTAGTTCTTTGTAACCATACTAAGGTACCGCTAACTATGTACCGCACATCTGGGTAAAGGCATGCAGCCGCAAGACATGCTCGCTACTGTACCAAAAGAAGGCGATGAAAAAGGTAGCACAACTTTTGCGTCTATACTGTCGTGGCTCCCACAAATTGTACGCTAAGCCTACGCCACTTTCTTAGGCGTCGTTTATGTTTATTACATAGTTCCGCGAGTTTCCCCGAGTTCAGTTGGAAGGTCGATGGCAGGGTAAAAAATTAAGGGACCCTAAAGCTTCTTCTTAAGAATTTGAACGCGATAGTGGTGTTTTCTTTCTAGTGTGTACTTCAAACCCTTAGTGCATGAAACCTTTTCTAGCTTGCTATACACCCACTACGTGGCCTTAATAGAATAGGCACTGTATGTGTGCGTTTTGTAGTGGATGACCGGCTTTAAACCTTGAATTCATTATGACAATCACATGTTCTTACCGCCTGATTTCAATGGATGCTTGTTCCATATTGTAATGGGAAGCATGCAAACAGGACCCGTGTGTTTGTAAAGCATAAAAGAAGGAAAGGGTAAAATTTAAGGGCTCATTTTCATTGTTAGGCAAAGAAATAATGAGAGCTAACAAACAGTAATGCCAGGGAAAGTATAGGGGATGTTATTAGAAGTGATTGTACGATAAATGTAAAAAAAGAAAGTGGATGAAAAAATATAACAAATCATACGCGGCTGAGTGTCTGTGCCACCTCAGCTCAGTGGTTGAGCATTGAAAGCGTTATTCGACGGTTGCAGGCTTGGATCCTTCCAGTGGCAAGTTATCTTTTCCTCCACTTTCTTTCTTCACATTTACATTACAATTACTTCTAATAACATTCCCCAATGTAAGAGCGCTGCCAGTGTTCCTTGAATAATTATATAGTGGTTTTGGGACGTTAAACCCCACATATCAATCAATCAATCAATCAGTGTTCCTTGAAGCATGTGGTCACAAGGAGGCGCTACAGTCCACCTAGCATACATATGGGATTTCAGGGGCTCCCGGGCTGGACATGGTGTCAGAAGTGGGATTACGCCGTCAATCAGACATGCCTTAGGACGCTGTATTGACTCTCGCCAAAGCCAAAGCGAACTGTGTTCAGGCGGGCGTATATGGCCTTCGTCTTCCAGTGAAATTCACGTTTTCTAACCCCAGAAAATGACGAACCTGGATTTCAATGTTCCAAGACGACGCCTTTGTGGCCGGCCTTCACAGTGCCAGTGACGAGGCCCAGGTATGGACACTTCTGTATGGGACTGCAAGCCAGATCCATTCTTGCGCCCTTGGGGGTATCGGCACCTAAGTCAAAGGTATCGGCACATCTGTCAAAAAAAAAAAAAAAAAAAAAAAAAATTGGATTCGCACTTCCTGCACCCAGTGAATGAGATATACGAAAGTCGTCGTTTTTATCGCTGCATTCAGCAGCCAGGGGAATTTGTGGATGACTTTTTCATGGCGTTACGTAACCTGGTAAAGCGCTGCAGCTACAAGAGCCCACTGGTCGAGGACTGTCCTATTCGTGACAGATTTGTCGTAGGTATAAGTGACGAGAGGCTGTCTGATCAATTATGCCAGTGCACAAAACTTACCGCCTAAGAAACGCTGTGCCAAGCCCCCATTCATGAGGACATAGAGAAAGAGTGGTCATCCAGCCAAAGATAGAGTGTGGATAACGCCCTTGCCGAAATGCTAAACATGATTCGGCTCGTCGAAATGGTACGTCTACCCCTTCGTCCCCTTTTTGCTTTCAGTCTGAACATTCGGCTGCGCTATCATGTCAATTTTGTGGGCGTTAGCGACACCCTTGCAAAAACTGCCCGGCCCGGAAAATCGGTGTGCCGCTATCGCAGAAAGGTAGGGCATTTTGTCGAAGTTTGTATGAAGAACAGAAACGACCTGCTCCATTCCATCGAACTTCACAACGTGGATTCAGGCCAAGCAAGTACATGGAAATACTTGTCAACGGGCAAGATAAACTTCGGCGCAGAAGTGTCTGTGGTCTCGCCGTCTTTGCAAGTCGACCGCGGGTGCTAGATTCTGTTGAAGGGGAAGTCTTAGACCCTGGTGAACAGGCTTTTCACGTTCTCATTACCTTCAAAGCAACTTCAAGACGCGGCAAAGCAACAGTGCAGATCTTGTATGCCTGACCGTCACAGTACACACCTACTAGGGCTGCCTGCAATTGAAGCTCTTGAGGTCGTTCATTTCGGGGATTCTGCCAAGTGCGTTCATTCCCCTAAAAAAAAAAAAAAGTCACTGCATATCCACGGAGTGAATGTTGATAAGTGTGGCGAAGTGCTGGAAGGTATCATCGCTAAACTGTGAACCATCCGTGAATATCGCCCACTACATAATCAAAGACGTCACAAACACTGTATATATTTATACAAGAAATTTTAATATTGGTAAGTTGTCGCTATACATCGCTTTCGTTCTTCCTTCACTATAACGGCCTTAAGGTCAGTGAAGTGATGGATCGGTGATGGTGTTTAGCGAGATGTTTGCAAGGACAAAGTAGTAGGCAGTTTGCTAAAGTGTAACTACAGGTTGAGCACTTTACGAAACTGCAGGTGGCTACCTACACCATCGGAGGAAAGACAGACCCACACCTTAAGGAGGTTCGCCCCTTAAATTTTCCACGGACTGCGGAAATTTCGGCAAGCTGAATGCCGCATAGGCCTCAAAGCCGGCGCCCGTCCATTTTTCTTGAGTGCTCCACAACGAATTCCGATTCCTTTAAACAATGTCCTCAAGAGAGAGCTGGATGAATAGGACTCTCAGGATGTCATACGAAAGGTAGAGACGCCAACGGAGTGGTGCTTCGGACTCGTAGTCGTGCCGAAGTCATCTGGCGACTACAGGATTTGTGTTGACCTGACGAAGCTTAATGCAGTAATTGAAAAGGAGCGCTTTATATTGACAATGGTGGAACAGATTTTTGACTAGTTAAGTGGAGCACGTGTGTTATCCAAGTTGGATGCACGGTCTAGCTTCCATCAGGTGAAGCTGAGTGCCGACAGCCAGGAACTCGCGACTTTCATCATGCCATTCAGTCGGTATTGTTATAAGAGACTCCCTTTTGGTGTTGCCACGGCAGCTGATTACTTCCAACAGTTAATGTCAAGAATCCTTGAGCGCTTGCTTGGGGTCGTGAACATAATTGACGACATTGTAATTTTCGGCAAAGACTGTCAGGAGCACGACGAGCCCCTGAGCGCCGTCCTGGCCCGCTTGAAGAAGAGGGTGTCGCCCTCGACAAAAAGAAGTGCGCATTCAAGGTCACCTCAGAGAAATTCCTGGGTGCAGTGGTTGGAGCAGACTGGATTTCACCAGACCCAGACTAGGTTAAGGCTGTCAAGGAGCTGCCGCCGCCGACCGGCGTCAGTGGAGTGTGATGGTTACTTGGAATGACCAACCACTTCGCGCGCTTCATACCTCACTTATCCGATGTTACGGAGCCCATTCGTTCTCTTTTGAACAAGAACAGCACCTGGACTTCGAGTGCCAGTCAAGAAGCTGCCTTCTCACGCCTGAAGTTGTTGCTGAGCTCGGAAACATGCATCGTTAAACACAATTCTTGCAACCACACAGTATTATCCGCGGATGCCTGTTCTTACGGCCTGGAAGCGGTACTCCTACAGGACCAGCCTGAAGGTACTCGACGGGCCGTTGCGTAAGCTTTAAGAGCGCTCACTTCGACAGAAGCGTGCTACAGCCAGAGAGAGAAGGTGTGTCTAGCCGTGACTTGGGATGTTTCACAATACGATCAGTTTCTTTGCGGGTTCACCTTCAAAATATAGAGGGTTAACCTTCAAAATAGAGATAGACCATCTTCCTCTGGTTACATTTCTGGGTAACAAGGATCTAGAGCTCGTGCCACCTCGCATACAACAAATATGGATAAAACTGATGCGCTATCAGTATGTGGTGAAATATGTGCCGAGGGAGCACTTGGCTATGGCAGACACTTTGTCATGAACACCCTCTGAAGTGCCGGCTACCTCTATAATGGAGACGTTTGAGCTATTCTTCAGCGAAGTGTTTAAGGAATTTCCGCCTCTGGTAGCAAGACGCCTGGACAATGTGCGCAAGCATCAAGCTGAAGATGGTGTTTGATTTGCGGTCATGACCTACTGCACAAAAGGATGGCCTGACAAAACCAAGGTGCCTCTGCAGGTCACTCGGTTTTGGAAGGAGAGAGACAGACTGAGCGTATACAACAGCATGCGTCTGCTGTACCGACGACTTCCGATTTCATCAGCCTTGCACCAGGACATTCTCGCCCTATTACACGAAGGGCATTAGGGAGTGTGTCACTGCCAAGAACGGGCCAGGGAGACTGTTTGGTGGTCTAGCTTTAACATACATGTAGAGCATACGGTGTTGTACTGTGCTGTATACGCTGAGACTAAAGTTCAGCGATCCGAGCTTATGTTGTCAACGGTTAAACCTGACAGGCCATGGCAGCACCTTGGCATCAATATGTTCCAACTGAAAGGGCACGATTACGTCTCAATTGTTGATTATTATTCCAGGTTCCCTGAAGTAATCTCTGTGGGGTCCACCACGGCACCTGCCGTCATTTCGGCAATCAAGAGCTGCATTGCCCGTCTTGCTGTACCAGACATGGTCCGGACTGACAAGAAACCGCATTTCATGTCATATGTGTTTGCAGACTTTGCACAGTCATATGGCTTTCATTATGAGTCCAGCAGCCCAAGGTATCCCCAGAGCAATGGAGAGGTGGAGCACGTAGTATGCTCTGTAAAAGACTTGCTCTCTAAAAGTCCTCATCCTTACCTGGCTTTGCTGTCATACCGTGACAAGCCCAGTCCAAACGGCATTTCTCCGGCCCAAGCCCTGAGCATTTCTCCGGCCCAAGCCCTGATGGGAAGGAAATAGCAAACATGTCTCCCACGACTACCGGAACAACTGGTGCCGTCATTATCGTGGCATACGAGTTTCAGGGAAAAGGATGCGGGTTACAGGGCAGAGGAAGTGAAGAACTACAATCGCCGTCGGGCTTCAAGCAAGTTGACCCCTTCAAGTCCTGGTGACTATGTGTGGGTCACTCACATGCGCTGCAGTGGTGAAGTGCTTTCACAGGCCGAGCGTCCACGATCCTATCTTGTTCAGACCACCAGAGGCATCCTGCAGTGTAATCGTCAACACGTGGTGCCTCATTCGACAGAAACGAGTCTAGCCCAACTATGCCAGTTTCTCCGCCAGCCGCTCCCGAGAACTTCCAACCTGAAGCTCCGCAAGAACCCGTGCTACCAAAAGTAACGTAACAGGAATATTTGACACGGACTCGCAGTGGTCGTATAGTGAGGCCGCTCCGACGTTTGAACTTGTAAAGACCTGCCCCATAAAATGTGAAAAGGAGGGATGTAGAGGGCGCTGCCAGTGTTGTTTGAAGCATGTTGCCACAAGGAGGCGCTACAGTCCATCGAGCGTATATATGATAATTGGGGAGAGGGAATAAAGTTTTCTGGTTACCACTTGCCAGCAGTCCGCCCCGTTTCTCGGCTCCCAGGCTGAACACCCAATATTTCACCTGTCGTTATTGTCTGCTAGTTCTCATTATAGCACGAAAGTTACTTTCAACGCACTTCCAAGCAGAGGAAGGTTTTTCCACGCTATTCACAAGCAGACGCTTGGCCGTTTAGTACACTTGCTATACAAACGACCGCATTCGATCGTTTGCCATGCAAATGACATAAGTTCTATCCCCACTTGGACCCAAACAACTCGGGTTTGATTGCTGCTCTGACCAGAGATTTGTTTATTTATTTGCATCATTGTCGACTTTGCAGTCATGCATAAGATGATTTTTCGCTCACAACCACCGATGCTGGAATTTCTGCGAAACGAGCTCTTTTATGTGAACATGTTATAAGCAAGGAAGTACTTGCAACTGTTTGTGAACTCATATGCAACTGAATGTCTCTGCTTTTGACTTTGTGGAAGGGTGCCAAGAATGGATTCTATACCACGTGAGCCTGTGATGTAAGCGAATAGACATGGTGGCAAGGCCGACATAAAAGTGTACGTAGCTTCACAGAAGCATCACACCTATGTTCGTGTTGCAGAGGGACAGGACATCATCGGGAGTTTCTTCCAAAAGAGCTGCGAAAAGAGTGCAATACGCACGGAATTCCTACTCATGGGATTTATTGTAGAACGCCGCTCAGCGTTAGTGACACAGGTCTGTTGTTTTAGATAATGTTCCTGAAGTGCGAGGACACGAAGCGGTATGGGTGCAAATACGAAAAAAAAAAAAAAAAACTGACATAGTTGGGGAAACGGGTCAGATGCCGAAAACACGATGATGGAGGCTCTGAAACACCGGGCTTTCGCAGTCGCAGTGGACGAAACAATCAAAGTGGGTCGCAAATATCTCAGTCTCAGTAATTTCTGACATGCAAAAAAAAAAAGCACCCCCCCCCCCCCCACCCTCCTCTGCGGTCTCCCAAGTTTTCATGCTGCTAGGTTGGCAGGTATCCACAAGCTGGCAAATCATGTGGATGCGGGCAGGTGAACAGTGCCAACAGTGCGAGCTCGCATTTTGAAAGGAAACGTCACCGGGTGTCTAATACTTCGTGCATGTGCGTTGGTAGCATAGGCGTATCAACAGGGGGCGGGGGGCTGAGCTTTCCTACTTTGCATGTAGAAACATTGGCAGTATGTGTAGAAGCATTGCAGTCAGTACTAGCCAAAAAAATGTCTATAAGTATTTGCACAAGACACAAAACCCTATAGTAATTCCTTGCTTTTGTAGATAGATGCACGCTTCCCAGAATGAATAAAGTGGTTTCAAACACTAGGTCTGTTGCATTTTGAAAAGCCACAGTATCAACATCATCTATATATTCTTCCATATGTGAAAGCAATTCCATCTAGGGGAATGGAAGACTAGATAGATAGATAGACTGGAAGACTAGACAGAAAAGGCAGAAAATTTTTTGGAGCGTGTAGTATACGCGTATTCCGAAGGAGTACGGCCACTATCGTGGGTCCGGTCTTAGCGAGTTATAAGGCACGTGTTAATCGTCGCCGTAGCGAGAACATGGTACTGCTCAAGGCTGCAACATTTTATTGCCTGCGGTAACACCAAAAACTTAGTACAGAGCCCATTGCAACAGGGGCGGCGAGAAAGCAAATGGGCTTATCCACCCTGGGCGAATAGTACTACACAGGGTGCTGCGAGCACGTCTCTGTGGGCAAAAGTGATTCACGGTGACACCGGGACAAACAGGGCGCGGTCGCTCGAGCGAAGGCAAAACTCCGCTTGCATTAGCTTCAGGAGATAAAGGTTGGCGTAGTACGACCACGCGTCAAGACACCGCACCGGTCTTCGGCCTAGCGTTCGAAAGGGGTGATGAAAAGTTGAGCGTCCCCGTGGGTGCACGGCGCCGTTGGTGAAGTCCGAAAAGCCCCAAACAATAGGAGCCCCCAAACAGGAAAGAAAAGCGTGCTCACCCTGGTCGTCCCGGAAAGGTTCTGACCCACTTCCGAGAGAATCCGCGCACGGCGCCACAGTCAACGTCCGCTACCGGGGGTTAATACTCATTCCCACTTCCCCAGAGCGACAGACCGCATAGGAGGGGAGAGTCGTGTCAGGACATGAAAGCGGCAGAAATAGGTGACAAAGCCTGCGTAGTGGCGGCTGGCTAGTCTCAATTCCCACAAACGATGAAGCTCTAAAAACTCAGTGCATCCCCTGATCTTCTATTTTAAAAGGATCATTCAAAGTGAGAATCGATAGCTTGTCTTTTGAGAATTACGAAATGCGTTTTTGTCAAGTATTGCTTTCACAGACAACTACCCTATAAGGAGAAATTATGCGACATGTTTTTTAAGAAACATTCTTAAAGCATCACAAGTGTACTTCCTAATGCTGTCTGTGTATGTCTTTTGCTATATGTATGCCTGTAGCCACAATGAATTCCACTTAATAGAACTTCTTTTGGTTTGGTATTTGTTTCTTTGTTTCATTTTTGTTTTACCATGTTATTGCTTAATACAGTCTGGAATGCTCTTTCATTTCCTAATCAAAGTTGTCTTTGTTCCTTTTGAGTGACTGAAAGTATCCTAATGCGTGCCTTGTCTGTCTGTTGACATGCAGGTAACTCGGGGTACTCACAGGAGCGGCAGCAAGCAACTGCGCCAGCCTCTTACAGACACGAGCTCCACCATCTGTATGGGCCAGCTGCTGCAGCCTCAGTGCAAGGCATGGAGATGGCCGCGCAGCTTTCCTATGAACACTTTACCGACAGCCTACAGCCAAAACCTTGGCCCAACATTCCACTCAAGACCGGATGAGTAAAAGTTCAGACCAGCAACGCAGGATTTAATTGAAATATGAGAATTTGTTTTAAGGAAAAACCTTAAGAAATGTGTACTTGATGCATATGCCCGCATGGAATGTGAATAATAAAAAAAACACTTGGCAATGCTGGCACAATGGTGAATTGTGTGGGGTTCTTTGTGTGGGAATGTGGGATGGTTCTTGTATCTCTTCGAGTGGCCAAGTGTGCAGAGGCTAGTTTATTACCGTTGCAGGTCGTCTCATAATGTCAAATTGCGTCCTTGCTTGTACTTGAGCAAGCACACACATGCTTGCCAAGACAATCATTAACGCAACATGCCCGATGTACAAGAGGCCACGTGGCAGGACATATTGCAAAGCTGCGCTTCAGCATTCCTTAAATTTCATTACGTGCTTTTTTTTGTATTTATTGGACAACCAGATTTAGTCTGGGTTTATAAGGCTCTGTATGCATGCTAATTTGTTGGGTGCTTAAAAGCCACTGGGGGGACTATTGTGCAAACCTAGAACGAGGGACAGAAGAACGAGAGAAAGCAAATATCCACTAGGCGAGCTGTGAGAATTCAGAAATGCTTTCAATACATGAATAAATATAAAATTAATCTCAACATCAAGATTGACAGGCATTGTTTTTCAAAAGTAGAGATTAAAGAGCGGGATGACTTTGACAATTTATTTGCATTGCGGGGTCTCGAAATGAGAGGCGGTGCTCTCTGAACACACGAACACAGCAGACGCGGTCGAGGGAAACCATAACAAAGCACTTATGGAACTACTACTACATTGATGAAATCATGAGCCAAATCAAATACATCACTAGTGATCAACATGCTAAAACACATCTTGTATAATGTTCTAGTATACTCATCTGCATAAAAGCAAACACAATGTAACACAAAGGTGGCATCGCCAACTCTCGACTAACCACGAGAAGCCCACTGGAGATGACTCGCGGAGCCGCCCCCCATGGAACCATCGTCACTGCTGGGGCCCTGGATGGCTCCAGGGCCCCAGCAGTGACGATGTCGCCGCTACCACCAGCGAGCCAGCGAGTCCTACCAGTGAGTCAGAGATCGGCGGCAACTCCTTGCACGGCAAACTCCAGTGCCAAACCCACTCAACAACAGGGAGCCGAGGGACACAAAGAGCCATCCAGGGTCCCAGCAGTGTCGACGTCGCCACTCCCACCAGCGAGGCCTTGCAACACAAGGCGGACGAATGCGGCGAAGACCAAGGCGGCGGCTTCCAAATGACACGGGGAAAAGAAGGTACGGGCAGTCTTAAACACGCATGGTCCCATTCATTTCAGGAAAATCATTGAAAAACAGGTGCAATACGAAACACACGCGGAACAACTAACCAAATATCTATCTCGCGAAATTGCACCTAAGGGCCTCCGCCTAGCCTGCAACCCCTCAATGTTTACACTAAGTGAAGCAGAAAGGGGAAAGTGGGAAAAAATATTACTAGAAGCGTTTTTGCAACTAACTCTGGTCATTGCGGACCATAGTGAGCGTAAGGCCGCCGAATACAGTGTCACGGAGGCCACGCAGAAATTGGTATCTATTCTCGGAGAGCATGAGGCCAGAGAACTGGAAAGATGAACTAAAAGAGAGAGGCGAAATTTCAGTAGTAAAAGATGGAAAATTCAATCTGGACTGCAGAAGCTCCACTGCTCTGGAACAGGAAAATAGGAATGAGGCCGTACAAGAATGCCAGGGACCACCCGTACCACAACCTAACTTTGAGGAGAAAAATGGGAACTCGAAACTACAGTGCAATCCTAATCCTCTCGAATATGACGCTGACACTCCCGTGCCATGTGATAGCCAAGAGCAGCCAAAAACTTATGAGAAAAATGTCCTCAATCTGTCCAACACAACGCTCACACCCGCTCAGCTTCAGCTTTTGTCGAAAGGCTTAACCTTTCGTCCATCATCCGGTAGATTCAATGAATTTGAACTGTACCAAGACCTCGATAACTTTGTGCGTAATCTCCGCCTCCGTGAATACTTTCATGATCGCAAGGACTGTACGAACGAGAATAGATTGATTGGTGGTGACAAATCATGGTGTCCAGGTGAGCAGAGGGACGAACACCTCGATGTGTATATATCAGCAGTTCAAAAAGATATCAATAGAGCGTATGATAAAAATCGGTCATCTCGAAACAACATATCAAAGTCAGAACGAAGGGCACTCGATGAACTACGAAAAAACACTGAAATTACCATCAAACCGGCTAATAAAGGGGGCTGCATAGTAATTCTAAACACGTCGGACTACTTAAAGGAAGGGGAACGACAACTATCAGACACAAAATTCTACAAAGAACTTCCAACGGACCCGACTCCTGAATTTGAAATGGAGATAAAAGTAACCCTAAATAATCTCCGCCGGGACGAGAAAATTACCGGCAAAATGTTAAAAGCAATGTCACCGGCCCATTCTGTTCCCGGTCGATTCTATTTGCTCCCCAAAATACACAAGGCAGGCAATCCGGGACGTCCGATAGTATCCGCAGTAACAGCACATCAATGGAAAATATATCAGAATTCATCAATTCCTTAATAAAAAACATCCCCCCAAATTTTCCCTATTACTTAAAGGACACAAATCACTTCATCTGCGAAACTTCATGTCTCAACATCCCAGGCTGTAGTTTTCTGGTGACCATTGACGTCTGCTCACTGTACACAAACATACCCCACCATGACGGAATAGCGGCTATGGTTTCTGAATATGTAAAATCTGACTAATCAACGAGTGTAAGTGGCGAGGTACTGTTTACACTTCTTGAACTTGTACTAAATTATAACCATTTTGAGTTCAATGGCAAGCATTTCCTTCAGGTCAATGGCACTGCAATGGGCACGAAAATGGCCTCAAACTTCGGGAGCACCTTTATGGCTTTACTTGAAATCCCATTCATTGAGCGACGCACCTTGAAACCTTTCTACTACAGAAGATACTTAGACGATATTTTTATGATATAGAACCACAATGAAGGAAGTCTTTTCCGCTTCATAGAGGATTTTAACAAGTGCCACCCGTCAATTAAATTCACGCACAAAATTTCCAAAACTAGCATATTAACTTCTTGGACGTCACTGTCACGGTCAAAAATGACCGCTTGTCAACAAACCTTTACAAAAAGCCTACAGACCGTCAAATGTACCTACATTTCAACAGCAGCCACCCAAAGCATTGCAAAACGGGTATTCCATATTCTCAGGCCTACCGGTACCGAAGAATATGCACCGATATGCGGGAATTTGACAGACACGCAGAACACCTAAAGCATGCCTTATTGAAACAAAATTATCCGGAAGACATTATTGACGATGCCATACTACGTGCTCGCAACGTGAACAGGAATGATATAATTAAGGGACCAAACAGAGTACCTAAAACGACTTCCCAAACGAACCTTGTACTAACTTACTCCTCATCAGCGCCACGAATCAACAACATACTTTCCCGCCATTTCAACATAATCAGGCAAAGCAAACGACTAACTTCTATTTTCGTGAAGCCACCTCACGTGGTGTACCGCAGGGATAAAAATCTGAAGGACATTCTTGTCAGAGCAAAAACAAACACCCCAAAAATTCAATCAGGGTGCCATCCCTGCGGAAAATCTCGATGCAAGGTATGCCCACAGATGGTCACAACACATGAATCCAAAGCGAACTTGTCGGATTTCAAATTCTGCATAACTGAAAGCCTTAATTGTGACTCCAGTAACGTAATATACATGCTACATTGCAACATCTGCGGACAAGAATATATCGGCCAAACAGACACGCCATTTCGGCTGCGGTTCAATAATCACCGGTACCACGCCACTTCGCTGCCGAAGCTACCTTTATCTAGACATCTGCGCCTGCCAAACCACAGTTTTGAAAATAACAGCGTAACTCTTTTGCAGTCCGGTTTCTCAAACAGACGCGAGCGCGAACCGCGTGAGGCATATTTTATTTTCAAATTTCGAACATTAGTAGCCGGCATCAACGAGGACCGCGGAAGACTCTCCTGCCTCCGAGAAGTAAGCCAGGAGGAAATCGGTGACAAAGGTTGATAGCTGGAGACCATGCTTGTTTTTTCTGACTGACTCGTACGTGTACACTGTTCATTTTTTTTCTTTTTTCCACATGCACATACAAAGTGTTTCTGTTCGCCTACCACTTGATGACCATTGAAGGGAAACGGACGAAGATGAAAGGTAAAGAGCTGACCGACCCATTAAGGGGAAACCCTTTCCTTACGCACGCCGTCACGGACCCCTCCCGCCACCGCGGCGACAATCTTGGGTGGCCTGACACACGTCGAGAACTGACCAGCACGGGATAAGAACCGGATGCGGACGTACACGGACATTTGGTTTCGTTCTGAGTGTTGACAGTGGTTCTTCCTCTTTTTTACTTTCTTTTTCTTTTTTTCCTTTTTCTTCTCTTTTTTTATTTTTTTCTTTCTTTTTTTAATTCTCTCTCACTCTCGCAAGCATTTTTCAAGGCGAGAGAGACGCGGCAGCAACGAAGTTTGGAAGTTCATGTTAGTATAACTCATCCCCTGATGAAGGAAGGACCCCTCCCGAAACTGTTGGGAAATATATATATATATATGGGATATGACACAACGGGAGCGTCGTCAACAAGGTATAACTCATCCCCTGATGAAGGGAGGACCCCTCCCGAAACACTGCTGGGAAATAAATATATTTATCCTTGTTGACAACGCTCCCGTTGTGCCATATCCCATACCTTCACGAAGACTAACTGGCCCATTGAATTATTACTCCTACTATATATATATTAATGACATCTAACAGACAGTAATGCCGAGGAATGTACAGGGGACGTTATTAGAACCAATGGAATGTAAATAGGAAGAAAGAAAAGTGGATGAAAAAATAACCAGCCGTGAGCAGGAATCGAACCTACGACCTTCGAATAACGCGTTCGATGCTTATTCGAAGGTCGTAGGTTCGATTCCTGCTCACGGCTGGTAATTTTTTCATCCACTTTTCTTTCTTCTTATTTACATTCCATTGGTTCTAATAACTTCCCCTGTACATTCCTCGTCATTACTGTCTGTTAGATGTCATTAATATATATATATATATATATATATATATATATATATATATATATATATATATATATATATATATATATATATATATATATATATATATATATATATATATATATATATATATATATATATATATATATATATATCTGAAGGACTTGCCTCTGGTGTATTCAGAAGCGAAAATTCCGCAGAGTAGAGCATTCTCATGGTGGTAAAACCACACATATATATACACATATACACACATATATATCACAGCATGATCCACGGATCGATGGTGAGTGGGACGAAGCGTTCATCAGTTCGTCCGCGCTTCCGTCCATCCGTTCGTGCGAATCCCTCCGTCCGTCCGTCGTGGCGCCAGGATTTTTTGCCAAGAGGGAGTGGGGCCCCCATGATAAGTGAGTTCCTTCAGGGGGGCAGGGAGGCGGTGAACTTATGCGTTTGGTTTCTCTTGGGGTGGAGCAGACGCATTTTCTTTACACTATTTCTCTTTAGTGTGCCAATTTGAAAACTCCTTATTCACTGTCCACATGCATTAGCCTTGAGTGCACGATCGAGCGCACGTTGGACCTCAACTTTGGTATGTGTGTTAAGTGGGCTTTTGGATGTCAGGGGGAGAACACACGTTAATTGTGTGGATATGTTTTCACCATTTTCAGAATAAAAATGATATGCGGCAAACTCGGCTCCTTTGTTCCTTTCTGTATTTATTTGACTTATGCAATATTGATGGGAACACGGTCGACATCCGTGCTTGCTATGACGAGTTTCTTGACACGCTTGAAAATCAATAATTCGTTTCTGTTAACAACTTTTCGTATCATCTGGGGAGGACTTCACGCGTTCGTCACGCACTCAAAATCACGGTTTATGAACTAGTCCCGCCGAATCGCCTATGCCCAGCGTAGAGATGCCAGCGATCATCGAGCAACGGCGGCGGCACGTCACGTTCTCGGAAGGGAGAGGGCGGCAGGCGAGGTCAGTGGTTCGGCCGGCCCCTTCTTTCCCGTCCGGCGGGGCTGACAGCGAACAATCTGGGACCCAGTCTTTGTTCAACCTGTTGAGCGAGTCCCCTTGCAGCGCTCAAGCCATGGCCGGCCGGATTCCTCCGAGAGGTGCACCGCTGCACCACAGGTGAGCTTCGAGAAGCCCGCGGTTTGAATCGTCACAGAGCCCTCGCGATTTATAGCGGAAGCTGACCTCCTCTCGGTTCAAACGCGCCGAATAGACGGCTCGAAGTTATGCATGGGGGGAGGGGGGGGGGGGTATCGCTGCACGACTCGCCATCTCGTTTCTCGCGTCGATCGTTGCGAGTATTTAAGGGTCCCCTTCGGCGCCGTCATTGTTACGGCAGGGACCTGCGATCGAATGTGCAGTGTTGCATGCACGCTGGATCCCGAAGCGCGCACTTTCGCGAGTGGCATATCCACTTGGGGGAAACGCACGTTTCAGGGGCCGAGTGTTACGTCTGATATTATGACTGTATTGAAAAGTGTTCGACCAGCGCACGCTTGAAAATCTTTGCAAAGGTATCCGTGCCGCGTTTGTTTTCCTCAAGTATCGCGTTTTTTTTTTTAAATTTTTGTAAGCATAGGTATGTGCCTTAGAAGCGCTCGACCATTTATCGAAGTTTTGTCATCAGCCAGGTAATCGATAAATCTTCCGAGTATAACAAATCTCGTTATATGGCTTTCATAAATTCAGAAAGATTGGTAGCAGTCCTGAAGACATTGCATGACAAAGGAGTACTTGAATAAAGTATATATACACAGGTAAATGCGTCAGCCATCGTTGACAAGGACTGCACAGTTATTTGCTTCCCTTGCAAGAACCTCTCCAATGTTGTCTGTTGCATGTTCAGAAGTGTTGAAAAGAATGGATTGGGACAAAAGGAGAATAAAAATTAATGTAGAATATCTTAGTCATCTACAAAATGATGATCTGATGCTCTTCAGTAATTATATGACAACAAACTGCAGAATATTATGGAAGACTTACACAAAGAAAAGATTAAACTGGGGTTACACATGAATTTTGTGCTATAAGGACCAATAATAGTCATTAGCCTAGCCAAAAAGATAGAGTTAACAATTGACAGCCAACTTTTGGAGCCTGTGCTAGAGTATGTTAGGTCAATTACTAACAGGGAGCCCTATTTATAAAAAGAGAGTTCACTGAAGAGTAACCATGGGCACAAGCAGAAGTCATTCTCAAATCGACAGGCAATCTGCTACCATCCTTAAGATCAAAATTGAATTAACAATAGTTGTATGCTGCCAGTTATAACATATGAGACAAACCTGGAGGATAACAAAAAAACTTGAGTGAAAGATAAGGACCATGCAGTGTGTGACGGAACAGAAAGTGGTTGGTATAACATTAACAACTTGAAATGTAGCAAATTGGCTCAGAGAACAGGAGATGGTAGCAATGACCCAGTTGACGTTAAGCTAGAGAAATAGACTGAGGATGACCACAAGATGCATGGGACAAGCTGCTTGTCATCAGTTAGAGCAATAGAGTGGATACCAAGGGATGGGAAGCACAGCCAAGGCAGTATCGGGAGTTGGATCGTGAGATGAAATTAAGGAGCTTACAGGGATAAAATGTAATCATCCCACAGAAGACGTGGTAGGTTGGAGATCATTGGTAGAAGTCATGCAGTGGACATCAATAGACTGATGATGATAATGTATGTTTAATTATGTTTGTGTTATTTACTTGATGAAAAATGTTGCTTAAAATTTTTCAAGTTATATGTTGGTTTTTGTTATTTATTCAGTTTCCTGTCATAAAACTTTTCTAGTGTGAATCCCAACAAGTTTTCCTTGTGGTAAGTAAGGCTGTCTTGGCCAACTTGGTTGTGCAAACCATTTTCTTAACTCTGTGGTAATTGCACTTGTGATGGCAACTACAGAATACCTGGTTCGCTATGTTAATATAAAATCTAAAGGCTTAAATGATTGCAACAGAGAATTACATATAGAGCTTGGAATATCAAATTTGTAGATCTGCAAGTGTCAACTTGTGATCGGCAAATGTTTCCAGCTTCTGCCGCACTGCGTTGAATTTGTCAGTAGGTCATAGTCCCAAGGAGGAAAGGCAACAATTTACTGTTTATAAGCAAATTGCACACTCAGTGGTGGCTTGCTTGCAGGCACCATTCATGACCCTCGGCTGTCATGTGGCAGTGGCTCCTCTGGGCAGCCTGCTGCCTGGTGGCGGGTGCCGAGCTCATCCAAGAATTTGAGGTGGCTGAGGGTGTACCAGCTGGCAGCCTTGTAGGGATCATTGGGCGTGACACGGGCACGCAGCCACCATACCTTATTGTGCCGGCACCTGGTTCAGCTGTCGACTCGGATCTGAGCATTGACCAGGCATCTGGACAGGTGCGCACCAGTGTGGTGCTGGACAGGGAACTGCGCAGCGAGTACTCCTTTGTAGCAATACCATCCAGCGGTGACAATGTGCGCGTCAACATCCATGTGCTTGATGTTAATGACAATGCACCCGAGTTTCCAGTGGACAGCATGGCTCTCGAGTTTCCAGAGAACACGCCTCGAGACGTTAAGCGCACGCTCAGCCCCGCACGAGACCGAGACTTGGGCGAGTTCAGCACGCAACACTATCGAATTGCATCTGGAAATGCTGATGGTGCATTTCGTTTGGCCTCTCATCGAGAGCGGGATGATGTGTTGTATTTGGACCTACAAATCAGTGGGGCCCTGGACCGGGAAGCGACACCTTTCTACAGCCTGCAGGTGGAGGCCTTTGACGGAGGCCGGCCACCGCTGAGGGGTATGATGACTGTCAACATCACCATCCTTGACGTTAACGATAACCCACCTGCTTTCAACCAAAGTCGCTATGTGGGACGTGTGCCAGAGAATGCCAGCATGGGCACTGCAGTGCTGCGTGTCCTGGCCACTGATGCAGATGCAGGGGACAATGGCCGTGTGCACTATGCCATCAACAGGCGCCAAAGTGATCGTGATGGTCTTTTTGCAATTGATGCCGAGTCAGGCTTAGTTTCTGTCAGCAAGCCTCTGGACTTTGAGGCCAAGGACACCCACGAGTTGGTGGTTGTGGCACGTGACTGTGGTGAGCAACCTTTGGAAGCGACTGCCTTTGTATCGGTACTGTTAACTGATGTGAATGACAACCAGCCAAGCATTAATCTCATCTTTCTTAGTGACGACGCATCACCCAAGGTGTCGGAAGACGCACGTCCTGGGGAGCTAGTGGCACGTGTCAGTGTTAATGACCCCGATTCCAAAGCAGAGTATGCCAATGTCAATGTGAGTCTCAGTGGAGGTGATGGACACTTTGGTCTGGCTACTCAGGACAACATCATCTACCTGGTCATGGTAGCACAGCCGCTGGACCGAGAGACTCGAGCGCGGTACGGCATGTTACTCACAGCCACTGATCAAGGAAGCCCACCCCTGAATGCTTCACGCTCTTTTGAGCTGGCTGTCACCGACACCAACGACAATGCACCTGAGTTTGACCAGGACACATATCATGCCAGTGTGCTTGAAGTGGCCGACCCCGGCACATCAGTGCTGCAGCTGACTGCTTCTGACCGTGACGAAGGACGCAACTCATTGCTCCGCTATTCTATTCTGCACACCCCGGATACATACTCACAGTGGTTCCATGTCGATCCCCGTACAGGTCTGGTGACCACACGGACTCCTATTGATTGCGAAACAAGCCCCGTGCCACGTGTCACTGTGCTTGCTACAGATGGTGGAGAGCCTCCACTGTCGGCTAGTGCTACGCTGCTGGTCACCATCAGTGATGTGAATGACAATGAACCCATATTTGACCAGAGCTTTTACAACATCACAGTGGCCGAGGACGAGCCCGTTGGCAAGTGCGTCCTCAGGGTAAGTCACTATTCTATTGTCTGTTTTGTTTATTATGCAGTATGAAGTCAACGAGGTAATGTAGCATGGCTGCAATATAAGGTCACTAAGAGAATGCTGCATTGTTTTTAAGCATCATTGTTGCTCCATATCTTTCTGTTGTGCATGTTGTCTGCTACCGCAGTTCTAGGCTTCCCTTTCAGCATGCATGCAGTGGTGTGTAGTGTAGGAGTGCGTGCTTGTGCTGTGCCATTTTGCTCCGTCCCCGAGCTTTTGCCATTAAACTTGTTTCATTGATGAAAAATCTTGCATTTCAAACAAAAAAGTTGAAATAGGCATTTGTTGTGCTTGAGATGGTCTAGTGTGCTGCTCAACAGCAGACAGTTACAAAGCATGCAGTGGTAGTGTTGTGGCACACTGCTATATTTATTTTGTTTGTTTGATGGTTGTTTGATGCTCCATGCTTGGTGTCATTATACAGAAAGGGTGTCACATAATACATAATACTTACACAAAAAGCAATGTTCAGTAGCTGATAGAAATAACAAATGACTAACCAGCATCAGAAAAATAAGCAACAAAAAAATTCGGCAGATCCCACGTACCTGAGAATCAGTGTTATGCGAAGCATGCAGAGGGAGAGTTTTTTTTTATTGAGCGACACATCATGAAATGACGTTAAATGTATGTACAAATGTTACAAGCACAGAAATATAATGAAAATCTGCAGATGTGTATGTAACCAGTTGTATGCACTGGCACAACGATGCCAACTGGAACATACATATTAGCAACACCAGAAGCGGATATGAAGTGCTGATGCTCGCGAGGATGCTGGCCCTGGATACTGATGCATAAATCAACCTCAGCGCATGCCAGCTAACCACAATTGATGTTAACTCGTCATGACGGCTGTATCAAAGGTGTACATATGTAATATTTATAAAATTGGATAGGCAGCACTGCAACCACTATTGACGTTTCACGAAGATTACCGTTCATTTAAAAAGTAGTTTCGAGACCTGGCGTAGCTCGGTGGTAGAATGCTTCATTGCCACGCAGAATGCTTGGGTTCGATTCCACCTGAGACCCTAACATTTATTCTTTGCATTCATTGGGTAGACGCTATCGATGTGAAGTATTTCTTTACACTTGCGCGTTTCTTAACATTTCTTAACATTATTTCTTAACACTTAACACACACGCATATCAGTGGCACATACTCGCTCGTGGGTATGTGCCACTGTCTGGCGGAAAGTGTTTGACGATGTACGCGACGAGATAGTGACATTATTCATGTCTTGACCAGCGCGTCATATTCGTCAAACCATATTACCCTCCCATGCTAATTTTGGTTCACGCTAAGTTTGACCACGAGAGCACCCAAACATAAGCGGCTAGATAGATAGATAGACAGACGGACGGACGGACAACGGACAGACAGACAGACAGACAGACAGACAGACACGCTCAAAGTCACCGAAGTTTGCTAAGAAAGGCTTTGCATTTAAAACAGTGACTATACAGACAAAAATCAAGGAACAAATGCTTGCACTAGAAGTTAACGTGTGGAAAGCTGTAATGCATCTTCAAAATTTACTGACATTGTTTGTTGAATAATTGAATTAGGTAAACTATTCCACAATTCTATTGCGTCTATAATAGAAAGCAGCGGAAAGCATTTGTGTTTGTGAAATAAGACTGAATAGCTCTACTACTATTAAGACAATCACATCGTTTTCCAGGTGGCTAAAGATCTAAGTGATTGTTAATTTTTGTTTGCCATTTACAATCTTGAAATGAAATTTGAGGTGGTGTTCATGCGTGCAATCTTCCAAGGATGGAAGCTTAAGAAAGCCACGAGGTATTTACTGCATGCGAAATAGGCGGCTAATTTTCTCTCGATCTTTGTCCTCAAAACCTTCTGATGAGCTGACCAGACAATACTAGCATGCTCCTAGACAAGTCGTATGAATGTCTTGTAAGCATAGTTTTTTACCCAGTGTGGCATGTTTTTTCTTTATGAAATAGTTTTATTTGCTTTATGTGAGTGCCACTGTAATGTGTGCAGTGGCACACTTGGTATTGGAAACAAGTTGCATTATCAAAGGTTGATTTGCAATTTGATACATTAATGACACTTTTTGCCTAATATGCGTAAATGTTGTCTTGCTGTATAGCTCATTTCCATGCCCCATTTTTTACACCACTCATCTAGCTTGTAAATGCTTGTTCAGATTACTTTGATCACTTTCACTATTCTCTGGGGAGTAAATGCAGCAGTTATCTGGTAAAAGTTTAATTATAAATAGGAGCCTCAACATATACATTTAACAATAATCAGAAAGAAAATTGGTCCTATCCTAAGACAGATCTTTGGAAAACCCCTGAATGCACATGTAGTGGATGCAATGTATAATTTTTCATTGTTATAGCCTGCCGACATGCAGAGAAATAAGCCTCTGTTCATTTTAATGCTTCTTTGCTTATCCCTAGTCTTTTAAGCTTGAAAAGTAACTTAAAGGGGGAAGCCTTATTGAAAGCTTTGGTGAAATTCACACAAATTACATCAGCCTGCACTGTGGGGTCTCCAAAGGGGATCGCAGATACAGTAGACAAGGTCGGGCAAACTAAAAACATCCTGTACTTTTATTCAACCACTAGTGACTCACTTAAACAACCTTATACAATATACCAGTACACTCAATCAACATCTGCAGTGGTCGCCGCATCCCGCGGGACTTGCTAATTTGCTCGCTGCCTGGCAGCGTATGGGGGCAGAAAATGAGGCGGCAAACTGGATTGCTTGGGGTGTGATGTTTTCTGCCCACTGTTTTCTACGCAATGTTTTTTGCCCGCTTTGGCACAGCCAATTAGGATACCATGTGGTGCTGGTGGAAACGTTTGGGTGAGACAGAAGTGGTGCGAGGTGGCAAGAGGGAACTAGTAGTGTCACATGATAGTGGCACATCTGCAAAAGGTCAAGATACTCTGCCTTCTCAACAGCTGTGCTGTTTCACCATCGTGCTTTAGCTGCTCCGCCTTCAGGCTGCCTCAAGCCTTGCCCAATGTTCTCTACATGGAGCAGACTGTCCCTCTAAGTGACATTGCTAGTGTAGCAGTGAATTGCTGTTTATCGACATAGCCTGGTGCTTGACTGAGCCTGTTGTAGCTGCAATTACTCTCAATTTCGGAACGTTGACTTGGCACGGGACGACTCTGGGTGGTTGTGGAATATGCAGGCCTCTGCATGAGTAGTTGATTGGAAATGCTCTGGCTGTCAATGCGGGGGCTTTCTTCGGAGGGGTGCATTTTGGAGAAGTGATCGCTGTCAGTGTCTTGTGCTGCAGAGCGGTCTCTGTGATTTGATATGGCTTTTGAATGCAGTTTAGGTGTTCATTTATGACATGTCTGTACCCTGGATTTCAGTCAGAAATTGGCAACAGAAAGGTGCTGATTTTGAGCTTTGTAGATGACTTTGAGTATTTATTTGTGTGCATTTCCTGTAATGTGTGGGTCCTCTTGTATATTCTGTTTATTTTGAAGCATGTAAGTTCATTGCATTGCGTTCGGAAGAGCAAAGCATTGTGGCTCTAAAACATGAAGTTGTCACTCAGGCAATCTCACTGCAGCATTGGTTCAGGGGTTATCTATGAGCATAGAAACAAGGATTTTGAAAATGTACCTCTTAATTATTGCAACTTTCTAAAGGTCATAGGTGTTCACAGACAAACTCATTATTCATTTGTGAATGATTGTGCCTTGTGTTTACTTCTAATTAAACTGAATGGTCATATTTTGTTTTTAATTTCTGTGGTGTTGAGCATTGTCTAACTCTTGTTTAATGTTTCTTTTATCCTATAGTTTGCAGGTCTGCCAATAATTGGTTATCAAATTTTGAATTCGCATGCTACAAGGAATCAAATGTGTTGACACTTGGAAGCCTCTGCTCGATACATTTTTTAAGAAAGTGAGGGAACCGCAGTTGTAGAAGTAGAGTGCCTTGCCTCCCAGGTGTCCGCCTCAGATCCCGACTGTGGCGTGAATGCCATGGTGAACTTCACACTGGGTGGAGGAGCCAGCAGCGACTTCCGCCAGCACTTTGCTGTGCATCCCAGCACTGGAGAACTGTGCTTGATCGCCAGCCTTGATCGGGAGCTGAGAAGTTCCTACGAGATCCCCATTGCTGCCACCGACCGAGGTCAGAAGCAGGCACCGCAAAAGTGATATTTTTCTTTGGCATGCATCTTTTGAGGGGTCATGAACCATCCTTCCAGCTTGGTGAGAAAACAAATCCTTCGAATAGCAGACACTTCTGAGTGCGGCAAGGAAAGTTCAGAAACGGAGCACGAAGTTGCCCTTCTTTCTTTTGACGGACCTGCTATTTAGCGTGAAGCAGGAGGCAACATGCTATTTGCCAACAGATGACATAAATCAAGAGTAGCATCTAGATGAGATGAAACAGAGGTTTGGTTGAGTTGACGTTTCGACGGGTGGACTTGTCTTCTCGTATTCATTTCCAAGTCACTCATAAAAAGCAAGCAGACACATAACGCTCTAGTTTAACTCTCTTTACTTGAATTAGTCCTGACACTTAATTATTCTGAATTTGATTCATCCTACAATGTTTTGGCACTCTTTTTGCATCAACATATGCCAACATTTTTATGGGACACTTAGAATCAGAGCTGTTGAAATTATTTCCAGTATGCCTTCTGCCTATCTCCGCTTTATAGACATATTTATTATATGGGAACATGGCGTAAGCGCACTAAACACATTTGTTGAACAAGTTTCACTCTAGTGTTACCTAAATTCACCATGCAAGTGAGGCGTATAATGAGGATCTGTAGCGACGACGATGAATACATTCATCACCTAAGTAAACTAAAGGAAACATTATTCAGAAAAATTACTCACATGACGCTTTAAGCGAGGTGTACAACTAAGCATGTAAACTAGATAGTAAAATAACAGTGGTGAAAAAAAAAAAAAAAAACACATCGCACAACCCAACCAGCATTTATAACCAAATACTCAAATGCACTCCCAAACATAAAGAATATCTTTCGTAAGCATTATCCAATACTGGCAAGCAACGAGCGCCTTAGAAAAGCGTTATCTTAAATACCAAAAGTTATGTATCATTGCAATAGGAATTTTAAGGACATGTTAGTACATGCAAAACTAAACTCACATTCTACTGCTCAAGTCAAGATATTATAGTTATAAGCGAGTGATATCGTCACACGGTTAGTAATGCCACTCTTCAAGAAGTCACAGAATATAAATACTTAGGTGTATTTCTCACTACTGATCTGAGGTGGAACAGACATTACACTCGCGTTAGGAACAAGACTATAAGAGCACTGAGTTTTCTTAAACGTAACTTTAGCAGCTTGGCACAGAAACTCAGAGAGCAGTTGTATTTTAGACATGTCTGCAGTATAATTGACTATGCATGCGTCTGCTGGGACCCCTATACAAAGGAACTCATTGATGAACTTGAAAAAGTGCAGAAGAGAGCAGTCCAGTTTGTCATTAGCAGCTATGAAAAGAGGCTTAGTATGGCAGAACCCCCCCCCAAAAAAAAAAATTGATTGGCCTCTCTGTTAACATTGTCGTCGTAACCTCAGATAAAAAAATTTCTTTATAGCATTTACCATTTACCATCCTGAATTGTATTTTCAGCCACCCAGCTATGTTTTTCAAAGACAGGATCATCAGCTTAAAATACCTGATATACCTTTTAAGGTGGCGCTTTCCGCTACTCTTTCTTTGTTCAAACTTTGTTCTTTGTTTGTTGGTGAAACAGAACAGCCTGTTAAAAACAGTCATTGCACGGACACTGCAAAGAAATTGCCGAAAGCAGTGGCACAGCATTTTAATGTAGCAGGGCACAATTTGACCATCTCAAACTTTACATACTTCAAACTTCCGGTCTGCAAGAGAGAAAATATACAGAGTCGTACCTCATTCACAAGTTCAATACACTCCAGCTAGTAGGTATAAACCATTTCTAAAGAGGGTCTTGAATCTATTCAGTATGGTACATACAGAAAGAAAACCGCTGCTAGTTAAGCCCTCCGTCTACAAATTTTTAACCTACCATTTTTAACTTCTGGCAACCGATTTGACAATTGGGATTCAGTGGCGCGTGTACATTCCCACCACTTCCTTATTTTCTTTTTGTCCACAGAACAGCTGTTCCTTCTTCGCCCATACAATGTGGCATCGGCTCGCCGCAGTGGTCTATTGGCCAAGGTACTTGGCTGCTGACATGCAGGTTGCGGGATCGAATCCTGACTGCGGGGGCTTCATTTGCAATGGAGGGGAAAATGCTGCAGGCCCGTGTGCTCAGATTTGCGTGCGCATTAAAGAACCCCGAGTGGCCAAATTTCCGGAGCCCTCCACTACGGCATCTCTCATATGATGGTTTTGGGATGTTAAACCCAAGTTATGAAACAATTTGTTCTACTATCTCACACCTTCGTATCCAATGTTGCCTCTCCTTTGCCTCTCCTCTCCTAGCCACATGGCAGCGCTGCTAACATTATGCAGTTAGCCACACTCAAACACAGCAATCACAGCGGGATGACACCCATTCAAGGTGAATCCGTTCACTGAGATAATTAATTTTCCCAGCCTTGTATAGGGACGAGAAAAAATGCTTAAAGCATGTGACAAATACCTGTAACTCCACCTGTTCTTGAAGGATTCAAGAAATTTTTTGTAGCAGTTGATCATTGAAATGATAAGCTCCGGTACTCAGTTAATTTGCTCATCACTTGCAAAAGTAGTTTGTGACCCCTATCAGGCAGCAGAATTGAACATATATTCAATGTATTCTAAGGCACCACAATACTCTATTGTATTTTTATTGAGAGATAGAAAAACAATAACATAATGAAATTCATGCCCTCTTTTAAGCAGTGACAGTGACAGCATTATTGGTGTGCTGCAGGTGGCCTGAGCACTATGGCCATGGTGAAGGTCTATGTGCGGGACGTGAATGACAACCGGCCGATCTTCTATCCCCGCGAGTACAACGTGAGCCTTCGGGAGCAAGATGCCCTGGCCACACCCATAGCTGTAGTGGTCGCCAGTGATGCTGACTCGGGAGCCTTTGGAAGTGTCTCGTACCACATTGTCAGTGGCAACGATATGGGCATTTTCCGAGTTGACCCCACTTCAGGCAAGTTCTTTTACAGGATGGCATGGAAAACCGCACTTGAGATGCAGTGGTCAATACGATACATGTCCTTCAGTGGTGGTGGCTATGTTTGTGTATGCTACTTGTTTATGGGGAAAAGAGAGGGTAAGGTACATTGCTGACTGGACAAATCGAACTGTAGCCAGTATGTGCTGACTCATCTTCATTGTGCTGCGTATGGCTATAATTGACCACTTTGATCGCTTCAAGAGGGCTGGAGTGACCTAAAAATGAGATTTAAGAATGCTGCATGTGTTGCAATTCCGAATGGGGAGGTTTTCCCACTTCGTGCATGTGTTCAACAACACTTTGAAGTGCTGTGTTATGTAGTCACTGTCATTGGAGGCGTCATACTCAGTAGGACGGTTGTATGGCCGCTACATAAAAAAGGTGCGGCTTGTTGCGTGCCATTGAAGCAGTGTTCCGGGCCTAGTTCCGCTTGTGCCTACTCTGGCGCCACTGGTCGTCCGCGGAGAAGCACTTCCACACCCGCATTCATACACGTGATACGGCTCTAACCAGGTCACAAATAACGCAGTAGCACATCACAGGTTCGATACTGAAGTCGTTATTCGGAGTGGCTATTACCCCACATATGTGAACAGTTTGCCCTAGAAGTGCCAATCTTTTGTACAAGAAGCCTCAATATTCTGCATGAATGGCGCCCATCTGACTCAACTGAAACGAAAAATGTCACTGATGTTGTTAATAAAGAAGCAATTGCCGGGATGATTTCAAGGGCCGATGTATTGGCACACAGATACGCGCCACGAAAGCACTCATGATTCAAGCATAAATCCTTTCAGTGCACCAGCGAACGCTGGTTGTGGTCTAAATGCTGAGTCAGAATCAAGTCCTTTGCTGAGTCAGAATCAAGTCAACAGCACAAACGAAATGCATTCTAAGCTGTGGCAGTACAAGCATCGCACAAACTTTGAATACTTTTTTTTTTATTTTGCGCATACATGGGCAGTACGGTCGGTGTGGTGATTTCATACTGTCATCTGGGAGCGGTGGCGCGCGTCTGATGTAGTGCTCGCTTGTGGCAAAATAGGTGCTCTGTTATGAATAATACGCTTTCCAGTATGCTTCCAAACACTAGATCGCAGGGAAATACATACTTCACAGCAGCATATTTTCTATTGTTCGAGTCGCACTGTGGCACACAGAAGCTTTGCGGCATCAGGTGACTGGAAAAAACTGTCTGCTATACACACGCACCAAAGAATCATATTCAAGCTCAGGAAACATGAGGCAAGCTGCACACACCACGATCACACACAATGAAGCACACGTTCACAAACTAACCCTCAGGCAGCCACATTGTAACATAAAATGTTGTCTGCTTTCTAGTCTGGAGCAGTAGCGGCGTCACCAAAACCATGGCTGCAACTGTCAACTTCCCCCAGACGCGCTCACCCATTGATGGCAACAGGGCGCACCTTGTTTTTTATGTAGCTGCCATGTCAGTGCCACGGGGCAAGACGCATACATTGGAGCACACGCTCATGGCCACTGTAACAGGGGATGACGTTTTTTATTTATTTATTTATTTATAATACTCTCAGGGCCAACAAGGCATTAAAGAGGGGAGTGTGTAAATACATGAAAAATACAAATAAAACAGTGTAATAAATACAAATTAATAATACAATAAATACAAATAAAAAATACAATAAAAGACAGATATTATTAAGATTTCTGCAGAATGTATAAAAATAGTTATTTCTAAATATACAAAAACAGAAGCAATAAGCATAGGTAACAGATTTTCTTGGTTATACAATGTTAGCTAATGTTTCGTGGAAAAGTTTGAAGTCAGTAATGGTTGCGACATTCGAGGGAAGGCGGTTCCAATCATGAGATGTGTGGGGAAGAAGTGACTGAAAGAAAGATCTAGTGTGACATGATGCGATTCCTACCTTATTGCGATGATCAACATCGCAATAAGGTAGGAATCATTATCGTTAAGAACAAATCGTTATCGTTAAGAATGTCGATCGTTAAGAACAAAATTTTTTACCACAGTGAACCTAACTTGTCCTGTAGTTGTAAGTACTGACACTAAACTAGATATATAGACTTGTTTATTTTGTTAATGAGGACTAACAGACGTAATATCGGAGAAAGCATAGGGGATGTTATTAGAAGTAGTTGTGATGTAAAGGTGGAGAAAGAAAAGTGGATGAAAAGATAACTTGCCACTGGCAGGATTCAAACTGCAACCTTTAAAAAACGCGTCCAATACTCTAACACTGAGCTACGGTGGCAGCCATGCTGCCGTCTACTCTATAGGGTATATGTGCATTTAAACATAGGAGCGGGAGCTTACTGATGCTCCCATGATTAAAGACACATATATATCCTACAAAGTGGACGAGCGGATGACCGCCGCCTCAGCTGGCGCTCCCACGTTTAAATGCACATATACAGTAAAAGCTCATTTATCCAGACCTCGTTAACTTGGAAATTCAGTTCACTCGGACTCGGGGTGCGGTCCCGGCAAAACTGTCTATATTTCAATGAGGTCAAATGCTCATTAATTCGGAGGGATTTAGCCGCGCACCGGTTATCTCGGACAACTCCGGAGAGGTCTATCGGGACTCCAGAGTCGCGCGATCTCGGCGGCCTGGAGGCTCAAGCACCGCTTGCCGTAACCGACGGCAAAGCCGGAGTTTTGGAGAAACCGAAACCGAGCGAAGTGCAGCATAATATGACCATGATGATAGTGAATGAGGGGAAAGTGGCTAGGTGGCGCTAGTCACCACCCGGCGGAAGCGCTTGGGCCACCGGCGCATCTAGTGTCTACTAACAGCTGCTCGCTACGCCTACTTGTGTACTTCGTGTCTTGGTTCTTTGTGTTGTGACTTCGCGTGTTGCGGCTGTGTTTGTGCGCGTTGCCGCCGCCATCGCGCTTCATGGCGACTGTCACAAGAGTTAAGCGGCCACAGCAGCCAGCAAATGATCTTGAAAGAAAGGTTATGATATTGAAAGACGTAGACGCAGGTGTTTCTTGACAGGAGATAATGAAAAAGTATGATGTTAAGAGAAGCACCTAAAGTGACTACGTGAAAAACAAAGAAAAAACTTTCGAGGCGTTTGACTGCGGCAAATTCACCGGAAAACGAAAACGACTAAGGACGGCAGCACACCCGAAGCTGGAAGACGCGCTGCTGCGGTGGATAACAGACATGCGCAACAGCCAGCTTCCCTTGAGTAAACCGTTGATCTGTCAGCAAGCTGAAAGGTACCCACTGAGAATGAACATCGAATCTTTCAGTGGATCTGAAGGCTGGTTTGCCCGCTTTAGAGAAAGGCACGGGTTGGTCTTTTGAAACGTGTGCGCGGAAAAAGCAGCAGTGGATGAACGGCGTATTGCTGACTGGAAGACAACTGAGCTTCCCCAGTACCTGGCTCGTTATGAGCCTGCCAACCTCTTCAATGCCGATGAAACGGCTTTCTTCTTTAAAGCCTTGCCGGACAAAACGATCACGTTCAAGGGCGACTTGTGCGTTGGAGGGACGAGGAGCAAAGAAAGGATCACTGTGCTTCTCGCTTCAAATATGTCGGGCACTGAGCGCCTGCCACTACTAGTCATCGGGAAGGCACGTAACCCGAGGTGTTTTAAGAGCATTCACCACTTTCCTGTGCAATATCGTGCCAACAGAAAGGCCTGGATGATTTCGGATATTTTCCAAGCTTGGCTGCACCAACTCGACCGCCGCTTCTCTGCTAACAAGCGCAAGGTTTTACTTCTAGTTGACAACTGCAGTGCTCATACCAGAGTGACAGGGCTGGAGTGCATCGAACTTGTATTTCTACCTGCAAACACGACGGCTGCTCTGCAATCGCTGGATCAAGGGATAATTCAGCACGTGAAAAGCAGGTACAGAAAGCATGTACTGGAACGGATTGTGCTGTGCAAGGAAGTGACTCTCCTGACAGCAATTCACATTTTGGCTCATGTCTGGAGCGAAACGCCGCCCGCGGTCATTGAGAATTCTTTCCAGCACAGCGGCTTTGTCTGCCCTGACGACTCGGATATTCCTCCAGAGGCCACTCCAGAGGACACTCGCGAGCCCACTGGAAATATGGACGGCGAGGTGAATGACACGCATTTTGACTCTCTCCTTCCTAGTGGCGTCCAGATTTTAGACTATGTCTCTATAGACTATCATGTTGCCATTGCTGATCTGCTGACTGACGATAATATATTATCGGAAGGGCTTGAGGAGGACCAAAATCACTTTTCTGATGATGACGGCCAGGATGAGCCGATGCGACGTCAACGCACCGTGCAGGAGGCCGCCGAAGCCCTCGCTGTCCTCGAGGAGTTCTGTGTTTGTTCTTGCGACAGTGAACGTGCGCACCACCACCTGATGGCATTAAAAAAGATCGTTCTGTCAGAAATTCCGACGGGGAAGCAAGCAAGAACAGCGCACTTTTTTTTTTAAGAAATAAAGGTTTGTCTGTGTCGTGTAGGGTTTTTTTTTGTTTTCATGGTTCATTCGATAATTCGGTTAACTTGGACATTTTCTCCGGTCCCATGAGATCCGAGTTAACGAGCTTTTACTGTATACACTATAAAGTGGACTGGGGGATGACCGCCATCGAAGCGCAGTGGTAGAGCATTGGACTCATTATTTGAAGGTTGCAGGTTCAGATCCTGCTGGTGGCTAGTTATCTTTTCGTCCACATCCCTTTTTTCACGCTTACTATATTGTCTGTTAGTTCTCATTAATATTGTGCCCAACAAATAAAAGGAGCCCACCACCCACTGCACACTTCACACAAGTGCACACTTCTCTCCTTCTTTCATTGTGAGGGTCTCGCTCTGGCAGACTATATATGAGGAATTATTGGTCAGCTGCCAGCTTATAATATGATCACATGCTACGTGATGCCAAATACGCAAGAAAAAGAGCATTCCACCCTCCCCGTAATGGCAACAGGTGTCGGAAGAAGGCACCTAATTTCTGTCTGCCTACAGGCGACACGGCGCAGTGCCTAAAAACGTATTGCCTTCCGAATAGCAACAAGTTCCGCGGCTATTGATCTATCTTGAAACGTCGAGCTATCTTCACCTGCGGGATGACAAAGGCTGCGGCGGAGGTACGCGACGTTGTAGATCCATCAATATATACGTGTGCCACACCGTCGTACATAGTATAAATGTGCTGCAGTGTAAGTTGCTTTAGGCCGATCAATGATACAAGGGACTTCTTCATAATCTCAGGAATCTGAAGTATGACAAGTGGTCTAGGCAGGAGCCACGGAGGTGTCTCAGGAGCACGTGGGGGAGAGAATCTTGGCGGTATGGTGTTCTCGAGCCGCGATATAGCTCTTGAATAACTGCAGTCTCGGTGGCTGGCAGGGAGCGCTGATAGGGGATATTGCCTGTGTCGAGTCAACAGGCGGAGGTGGACTCGAAGAGGCTCGCAGAGCACATATAATTTGATTAAACTAGCCCGAGCTTCGGCGAGAGTTTCCTTGGTTGATGTGCATTGAGGTAAGCCCAAACATGTGCGCAACCTTTGAGCTTGGATGCTTTCTAGCGTGCTCGCACAACTGGGTTTCATGCTTGAAAGCACGGGATTGCTGTATCGTAAGTACCCTACGAATAAAGATTGGTACACTTGCAGGAGAGCTGCCTCCGAAGGGCCCCATCTTGCTCCGGCCGTGACCTGAAGAACGTGGACAAAACTCTTGAGCTCTGACTTCAAGGCTGTGACGTGTTTTGACAACGATAGATTCCGGTCGAGGATAACACCCAGGAATTTGTGTTGCACAACAGCACGAATTTCCGTTCCATTCACAGTTAGTGGGTATCTTGTCATTTGTTTTCGTGTAAATGCAAGCACTGCGCATTTTTCAGTATACAGTGTGAAACCCTGGCGACGTAGGTACCTTGCTGTGATGGTCACTGCACGTTGTAGTCGAGCACGCAGTTGGGGGTGCGTAGCTCCAGAAGCCCAGATGCAGATGTCGTCCGCATATGTGCTCACCTTCACCGTGTCAGGAAGTTCAATAGCAAGTCCAATCAAGGTGATGTTAAAAAGTGTCGGACTGAGAACACTCCCTTGGGGAACACCACGGTGAATGTTGTAATGGTCTGTATCTCCATCGCTTGTTGACATATACACAGTACGGTCGCTAAGGTAGCTCACGATCCATGCATACAGTCGTCCGCCGATTTCTAGATCCTCAAGCTCATCAAGGATGGCATAATGTAAGACATTGTCGTTGGTGCTTTTAATGTCAAGAAAAACAGCAGCCATTAATCTGCCTCGACATCTTTCCTGTTCAACATCGGAGACCAAGTTGATGACCTCGTCAATGGCTGATCGGCCTCTCCTAAAGCCATTCATGAACGCAGGAAAGCGATTATTGCTCACTAAGAGCCATTCTAATCTCGACAATACCATCCTTTCCATGACTTTGCCAACGCAGCTGCTTAAGGCGATCGGCCGGTAAGATGAAAGCTCATTAGGGCACTTCCCCGGTTTAAGCAGTGCGATTATGCGGCTCCACTTCCACTTATCTGGAACATTTACTGACTCCCCGGAGGTGTAGTAAGATAACAGAATCTGTTGTGCTTCTGTATCAAGATGGCGAAGTGCAGCGTACATAATTCCGTCCGGCCCGGGTGCCGATGAGCGCTGGGAAAGTGAAATTGCAGCATCCAGTTCCTGCGTTGTAAAAGGCACTTCGAGGTGTTTGTCGAAGCACGGGGGCACAGTGGTGGTAAGAGTTTGGGTCACAGTGTCAGCGGTGGAAAAGACAACGCTACAGTAGTCCTTAGCTACCTCTAATTCACTCCGACCCTGATGTGGAGCCACCGCACAGAATGGCCAAATTTGTTGTGGAGAAGATTGTAAACTTCGTACTATCCGCCAGATTTTAGAGAGAGGCTGTCTTGGGTCCAAAGAACTCCAGAACGACCTCCATCGTTGCCTGTCCAGCTTGTCGAGATGCTAAAGAACGTGTCGTTAAGCTTGACGACAGGCTGAGAGGTCTGACGGTGATCTTGTTCTTCTGTATTGCCGTTCTGCGCGGCGATAGATAGCACAAAGGGCATCGTATTGTCACGATCAGTCACAAGTACTGGGGGATTTATTGAACGACCGGGTAGCTAGCTCTAGGACGATGCGTCAGTCGTGGCTGGCTCTCGAGCAGAGAAGAAAGCACGCGATCATCTTTTTCCTCCAGATTGAGAGCCGCTCTTGCTGTCGACCCACTACGTGCTGTTGGCATTAACCCCCTTTCCGAAAAGAAAAAAAAAAACAAGTCCCAAAAAGAGGAAAGAAAAGTACATAGCATCACCGCGATGCTACTACATAGGCACGTGAAAAAGAAATTGGAAATTCGGATAATGTGAAAGTAAAAATTGAAGAGCGAGCCAATATAAGAAACGTCAATGAACGAGAAAGCAAGTTCACACAAATAAACAAAAAACACAAAGAATGCTGTACGGTAAAGGAAAAGTTACGAGCAACGCGCAATAAATGGTTTCATGCGCAACACATGAACGACGTCCGGCCTCAGCCGTGTCCTGCTCCGTGCATGGGGTGTTGAGTCCGGAACCACTTCGTAGTTCACGTCACTGACGCGGCGTAACACTTTATATGGGCCAAAGTACCGGCTCAGCAACTTTTTGCTAAGGCCACGGCGGCGGACGGGCGTCCACACCCAAACTTGATCTCCGGGGCTGTAAAACACTTCTCTGTGGCGGGTATTATAGCGTCGTGCGTCTGCCTGCTGTTGCTGGCCGATGTGCAGTCACGCGAGCTGCCGGGCTTCCTCAGCACGCTCTGCGAATTCTTCGGCGTCAGTTGGCAACTCGTTTTCGTCTTGACATGGTAGCATAGAGTCTAGCATGGTCTGCACTTCGCGGCCGTAGAGAAGCCGAAATGGCGTGAATCGCGTGGTCTCTTGCACGGCGGTATTATACGCGAAGGTCACGTAAGGTAAGATCCGGTCCCATGTTTTGTGCTGTACGTCGATGTACATTGAGATCATGTCTGCGAGGGTCTTATTCAGTCGCTCGGTAAGTCCGTTGGTTTGCGGGTGGTACGCAGTTGTTCTTCGGTGTCTGGTGTTGCTCAGTTTGAAAACTTCGTCCGTAAGCTGCGCCGTGAATGCCGTCCCTCTGTCCGTTATTACACTGGAAGGAGCACCGTGTCGTAACAAGATGTGGCGCATGAAAAATTGTGCTACCTCAGAAGCCGTGGCTCGTGGGATCGCCTGGGTTTCAGCGTAGCGTGTCAAATAGTCGGTCGCGACGATCACCCATTTGTTGCTGTCCGCAGACAGGGGAAATGGCCCGAGAATGTCCATGCCAACTTGGTCGAATGGCGTGCAAGGTGCTTCAATGGGCTGAAGCAAACCAGCTGGCTTAACAGATGGTTGCTTTCGGCGCTGACATTCCCGACAGCTCTTCACGTACTTCTTGACGCTTGCCGAAAGTCCTGGCCAATAGTACCTCTCACTCACTCTGGCAAGTGTTCGTGAGTAGCCCAGATGACCGGATGTGGGTTCGTCATGGCAAGCGAAGAGGACGTCATCTCGCATGTCTCGAGGAACCACCAGGAGGTAGGCACGGTTGTTCGAACGAGCGTTCTTCTTGTACAGCACACCATCTCGAAGGCAGAACGACGGCAACGAGCGGAATAAATGACGTGGTATGATTGTGTCCTGGCCCTCTAAGTGATCGATGATCGGACGAATCTCTGCGTCATCCCGCTGCCGTTTGCTCAAGTCTGATACGCTAACGGCGCCCAGGAAGCCTTCGTCTTTCTCTTCTTCCTGACTGACGACATGAAGGGGTGCGTGTGACAGTGTGTCAGCGTCTTCATGCTTACGGCCGGACTTATGGACGATGGTGACGTCAAATTCCTATAGCCGCAAGCTCCACCGTGCTAGCCGTCCTGAAGGGTCGCGCAGGCTTGCCAACCAGCAGAGGGCGTGGTGGTCCGTCACCATCTTGAAGGGACGACCATAAAGGTACGGGCGGAACTTGGTGATTGCCCACACGACTGCGAGGCACTCTTTCTCCGTAGTGGAATAATTCGCCTCAGCACGCGATAGAGAGCGGCTGGCGTAGGCTATCACTCTTTCGATGTCTTCTTGACGCTGAACGAGCACTGCACCGAGCCCAATGTTACTAGCGTCGGTATGAACTTCCGTGTCAGCATCATCGTCGAAATGAGCGAGAACGGGCGCTGATTGCATGCGCTGTCGCAGCTCATCAAAAGCTGCTTGTTGCTCGTTTTCCCAGACAAACAGTGTGTCGTCCCTTGTGAGACGAGTCAGAGGTTCTGCTATCTGTGAAAAGCCATGA